GGTTCTATGTGCGTATCCTCCACCCCGTTTTTTTTACCGGGGTGTTGGGCCAAACAAACCAAAAAACAAACTTCCCCGGTTCCCCCCCCCCCCCCCCCCCCGCCCAAATCTGAGGGGGCAAACCTACGCCCCGATCTCGAGACCCGAAGGGACTTTGGGTTTCGGGACTGGAGTGGGTCAGTGCCGGGACCACGAAGGCTGTATGGACACCTTACGAGATACCACCGACGGTATTACTATCCTAGTACCGCGAAAACGAGGCCACTCTCCCACCCACCGCTACACTATCTATCTACCTATCACGTCGGATGGGTGTCAGAAAGGGGTTTTAGGGTCCCTTTTCTGTGACTTCAGCAGAGAGCGCTGTAGTACTCTGCAGGGGGCAACAACATGGCATGACCTGGGATTATGTGTTGGCCCCTTATTTAAAGATATTACGAACATCACTGTTGAACGAGGCACGTATACAATTTTGGCTTTGGCAATGGCCCGCGAGGCGGGGCGGGCCCGTCCCGAAGGCCGTAGTTTAATACTAATTATAACGGCACGTCCGTCCATACCTTGCTCGTCGCATGTGATGTATGTATTGCTGCCCACAGTCATAGGAGGAGTAAAATATAGTTGGTATATTCGCCCCGCGCGTCCCTCGTCGGTCCACCGCAATACGTTAATGCGATGCTGGGCGTATGCAAAGCTTTTTCATTCCTAATCTATGTACCTGTGCTACCATGCCGTCTCTAGGGGCAAATCGCCCAAGCTCCGTACCTTTGCGCATATTCGTACAACTCAAGCCCGACCATCTCGCCACGGTCCAAGGCGGCGCGCCTTAATTGTACTGCATGTACGTCGCGGTCGAGTTGAACTTCAGATTGCCCTTGATGACCTTGTCGACGGCGCTCAGGAAGTCCTTTTCGGAAGCCACCTTTCTCCTGGCGCGGATGGCGAACATGCCGGCCTCGGTACATACACTTCGCAGCTCGGCGCCGGTCGCGTTGGGGCAGAGACGCGAGATCAACTCCCATCGGATATCCCTCTCGACTGACATGCTCTTGGCGTGGATCCGCAGGATGTTTGCCCTGCCCTCGAGATCGGGAAGGGAGAACTCGATCTTTCGGTCGATACGGCCGGGTCGCATCAGCGCAGGATCTAGTGTGGACGGCCTGTTGGTGGCAAACATGACCTTGATATTTCCTCGGGCGTCGAAGCCATCCAGTTGTGTGATCAGCTCCAACATGGTTCTCTGGACTTCGTTGTCACCACCGGCGCCGTCGTCAAACCGAGCGCCACCGACGGCGTCAATTTCGTCGAAGAAGATGATACACGCCTTCTTCGTCCTCGCCATCTCGAAAAGCTCTCGGACCATTCTGGCACCCTCGCCAACGTACTTCTGGACCAGTTCGCTGCCGATGACCCGGATAAATGTGGCGTCGGTTCGGTTCGCCACCGCCCGAGCGCAGAGGGTCTTTCCCGTACCAGGGGGCCCGTACAGTAGAGCCCCCTTGGGGGGGTCGATACCTAGATTGACGAAACGCTCGGGCGACAGCAACGGCATCTCGACGACCTCTCGTAGCTTCTCCACCTGCTCCTTGCAACCACCCACATCGCCGTACGTGACATCGGGCTTCTCCTCGACCGTCATCATGGTGACGCTCGCATCGATCTTGGGCGGTAAGGGCAGAAGGATCTGGTACTTGTTCCGGTCGACGCCAACACGCATACCCTCCTCGATATCAGTGGGCGAGACGCGCTCGCCCAGCTGCACGACGAACTTGGCAATTTGCTTGACGTTGATGACATACTTGCTCTTCGACTCATCGGACTCATCCGCAATGATCTTGGTACACCGCGCTACCTGAAGCGGTTGCTCTTCCGACATGCGTTGCCGATCGGCGGCGACATCCCACAGGTGCGGCGGGGCGAGGCCTGTGTCGGATTCTTTGACGCCAATCTTCTCATCCACACTCTGCTGCTTCTCCTTTATCTGTTGCTCTAGCTTCTTGATCGCAGTTCCGTAGGGCGCCGCGCCGTATGTCTTCAGGACCTGGATATCCCTAGCCCGGGGTTAGCAACCGGCGGTATCGATGGGCGAAGGGGGAGCTCGGGTAGAACGCACTCGTCGGACAGGGGCTGGATCTTCTTCTCTTCTATCTCATCGTCGGCAAAGGTCTTCTTGTACTTCTCCCAGTTCGACCCCGTAGCGGAAGGCTTTGAATGGTCAGCGAAGTCCGGCTTGCGCGCGAACTGGTAAGACGTACCATGTTGACGGTCGAGCCAGCTGATACAGGTGGCCAAACTCGAGAGATATAGGCGAACTACAGTAAGACGTGTGCGTGCTATAACGGAGAGGTGCTGCGAGGGTATCGTGGGGTATCGGACGGGGGTGATGGCGTGTGGTGAGCAATGGGCGATGATGGAATGGATTGGTAGGGTTGGTATCGTGTAGGTCGGTCGTAGGCTGGAAGCTCAGGGCAAGAAGTCAGGCCGGCCGGGGGTTGCATCAGCGCTCGATTGCCTGGAGCTGCCTGGGCCCGCAATAGGTAGTTGCACTAGGCCTGATCGGTGCTAGAGGGTCGGCAGCCTCGCAGCTACCCCCCGTCCAGAGGATTTTCGGCTTAAAAAATGCTAATAATTCATATCACAGCCTACAGCGGGGGACAGGGACCTGACCTTCTGCCTTTTGCATACCAACATCCCT